AAATGGAAATCAGCCATCACTCATTTTATTATATATACTTTTCCTACGGTGACCTCTTCTTGACAAAGGACTATTAGTTACTTTCTTAGTGTCAACACAAGATAAGATAGCACTTAATTTATCTTAATAATTAAATTAATCTTATATTAATTTATTTATTAACTATTTTAGGAAAATAGTAATTATTCTTATGGTTGTCACACATTAAAGCCAAATCCCATGGTGAGAGTGTTTGTTTCTACTTTTTAGATGAAAGAATGCCAAAATAGTTTTAAAATCCAGTTTTCAGTGATCAGAAAATGAATATCAAAAGATTAAATTACCTACCTAAGGGGTGATCGACACCTATTAGCTACAAATTCCTCTCTATACCTTTAAAGTAATACTTCAAGATTTTTGGAAATAAACGTATTTGCTTTCTTGCTGAGACTCAAATGAGAAGATTGATACCACTCTCACTTACTGTAGGTTAGCAAAAAAAAAGTTACTGGTTTCATCCAAGAAATAGTCTAGTAGCTTCTCGTTTTTACACTTTGTTCTTTGTGCAGGTTAGACAAATTCAATATAACAAGTTAATTAGTGAGATTTTGAGTTTGTCACCTTTGGACAGAACCAATGCTAGCTGTTTCCCCCAATTTTCAGCCTTCATGCTAAGGTAAGCTAACCGGCAGTTGTTTGTTTCCTGGACAGGAAATGACAGTGATATCAATCTTCTCATCTAAATTTCAGTTAATATGCATATTTCCCAAAATTATGAAAGAGCCAAAATAACACAAAGAAAAGCAGCATGTAATAATATTTGCCTACTCTTCAACAACTTCAACACAAATATGATATTTTATCAGCGTTTTGGATGAAGGTAGTTTCCACGTCTACACACTGTCTCACCACTGGGCTGTTACAAATGGAAGGTGGACGTGAATCAGACACTTGTGTGCTCATTTACTGTATGCAAGGTATACATGCATAGCCAAGGGGGCTGCATCCAAAAGCATGCATTTATAAAACCGTAATTTGGCTGGGCAGCAGCTTCTAGCCTGGCAACTCTAAAAACACGACTGTGAGGAGTCAAGAGCAGGGACTTAAAGTTAAAAAAAAAAGCCACGTATTCCTTCATGATACATCAGAGGGGGAGAAAGCATAAAAGAAAAGGGTGACTACACACTCTTGGAAAGCAGGGGGCAGATTGAATTCAAACACAATAAAATTATGGCTAAGGGTGTATTTCGAGCAGACCCCAGGGTAATTTCACCATTGTCATGGAGTATGACTGTGGAACTGGCATGACTGTAAAGTGCATTGAACACAATTTCTCAATGGATGTGAAGTGGACTGCTTTGACAGCAGCAGGCCAGGCAGGGCAATGAGAGGTGGCCTTTCATCCTTGCTAGCTGTTAGCTTTGGCAGAGAGACAGCAGCCCTCAGCCAGCCTTCCTGCCTGCCTATAAACTGGGAGCACAACTGGGGGCTGGGAGAGAACGGGGTGAAGGAGAAAGGGGTGAGAAATGAAAGAGAGGGAATATAAAACATTCTGTGAGGATAATAAAGGATATTATATTGTATTGTAGCGTATAAAAGCCAAGCAGGAAGGCCGGCAAGGAAAGCATAAAGACCGCTGTTTCCTCAGTTTTCTCTCTTGAAAAGAAAATAATGTCTCTCTGAGGTCTGAGCAGAGGTGCTGAAGCAGGTGGGCAGACAGATATGCAGACAGGCAGGTAGTGACTCAGACAGGAAGTTACACAAGCCAACAGATGCAGGCAGACAGACTTGCAAATAAGGAGGTCGCAGACAGATGAGGGAAATGATTTTTTTTTGTGTGGCTGGTATTCTGCTGAATAGCTGTAGTGGTATCCATGGCAACACAGCTTCGGCACAGTCGGCAACGCTGGAACGAGCAGCGAGAGCAGGAGAGGAGCGGGGCAGCGAGTGGATGTTGGGATTCACACCAGACGGAGAAGGATACCGAGTCCAGCTCGGTGCAGCGTGCACCTAGGCGATATATCAATATTTGTCTTCCACCATGGCGGGGATTGCCAATAGGATGATACAAGAGGCTGCTGTGTGTGTCGCTGCTACCTTGATTCCCACTGAAAAACTGCATCATTGCTATTTATTTGTAGGTTACAGCAGGTTAGATCTGGACGCTTCTTATTGCCCTGACAATCAAAGTTGAAGGGTGGTTTATCACGCCACAAAATGTTTCTAAAGTATGAGTTGTAGTACTAACGATTAGGTGTGACGCACTGAATACTGGGATACTCAGTAACCTGTGACACAATATTACTGCACTTTTTAGGAAGTAAAAAGTCTCAAACCCAGTGAAATAAAACATAAATTCCTACTTTGTGTCCCTGTGTTAACTGTTGGGTTATATTATTGAGTATTCATACAGACAAATTCCTCTCTTTTACACTTCTGTATTTGAAGAAATACACATGAATGTATCCAATCTGAAGTAATTTGGGGTGAAAAACTAACCGCTACTATCATATGAAACAGCACTAGCTACTACAACTCACGTCCATGCAGCAAATGGGTTGTAGTAGTTAGCATAGTGATATAGGTTTGGAAATGCGTGTTTAGATATTATTAAACAGACTTGTTGCAGTCGCACTAATTTATTTTTCCCATGTGACAATAAGGGTGTAGGTGGAGGTGGAGGTGAGAGATGCCATCTTCAAGCTAAAGATGATCTGTCATTTCACTGGGCTTTTAAAAACAATGAATGAACTGTACTGTTACATTAGTCCATTTCAGTCAGTCATCTTCCACCTTTGTAGGTTTAATAGATTAGTATTGTACAAAAAAAGTGTGTAGGCTGTGATTCCAATCAAGACAGTTTCACTGTGCTTTCTGGGAATTTCAGACAACTAATAAGTGAAAAAACAGATCTGCTTAAACAATTTTCCAGCAGCATTTATACACAATAAAACAGACAGGATGACAGCTGACTTTAAAGGTCCAGTGTGTAACATTTAAGAGTATTTATTGTGCAGAAATGGAATATAATATTAAGTATGTTTTCATTAGTGTATAATCACCTGAAAATAAGAATTGTGTTTCTTTTGCCTTGGAATGAGCCATTTGTATCTACAGAGGGAGCGGCTCCTCATCTACAGAGGCTGTACAAACCAGTGGCTCTAGACAAAGCGTTTTTATGTAGTTTCTCCTACATGCTTGGAATGGGAGGGTGAGGCGAGGGGGTTGTAATCTGCAACAACTGCTAAATCATACACTGTAGTCCTTTAAGAAAGCGAAGGATGACAAGGATGAAGAACAGTGTAACAGGTGAAAAGCTACAAAGTAAATAATGCATCAGCTATGTGTGTGTGTGTCTACGTGTGTGTGTGTGTCACCCGGCCAGACCAAACTTCCCTCATCTGCCGGTAAAGGCTGCCTTACTGACTTTCACTTCATGTTCACATTTGAACTTCGGGAGCTTTTGGGAAGTGCTGACAAGGACTCAGCACTTTTTTTGGCTTCTTAGCTGCCTTGGGAAAGTTTTAGACATACATATAAATATATATAATATATCTAGTGTGTCTCTGTCTCTGTGTGTTTCTGTTAGCTCTTCTGTACAGGGATCCAACAAACACAGATATCAACAACAAGCACGGGGGAATGTGTGTTCTACATGTGTGTTTCTTGGCCATAATTTCAAGAGGGAATAATTTTTTCCTAAAATTTTAAGGCAACTGCCAGATATGAAATGTTTATTTTAGTTAGGTTAAGTTGGAACAGCCTCAGTTCCTTTTCCGACACGCTTGTTAATAGCACGGCGTAAGTGACCAAAAACAACATTTAAACGTATAAAACAAAATCCTCACAACCACACACACACAGCCACTGGAAGCTGCCTCACATGTGCCCACAGTCATCTCAGTTTATTTGTTATGCTTGCAATGGAGTGGCACATGGCAAGGCAAATACACACAGGCATACTTAGTTACTTGGTTGGAAGTGTTATGTGTAATAACAGAGTATGGCTGCTATTTTAATCTGTTTGTTTTCTGTTGTGAGGACAGAGAAAAGAGAATGGGCTGCGAGTCAGCTCACTGGATCAAACTCTACAACTGACACTTAGCCAGGGCCAGCGAGAGGAGGAAAACAAACACACCCATGCCAGAACACATGCACACACACACACACACACACACACACACATATGCAGGTGCCCGCATACACACTTTTAACATTAATTATTCAGGGATGTAGATTCAGGCATAAAAACTTAAAAAACAAATTTCTGTTGTGTTGGGGGAGTGCACAGTGGAAATGAATTAAAAGTGTGTGTCCAGAAAGAAAAGAAAAAACAGTTGGATTATGCTTCTATTAATGCTATTATAGCATTACTGTTCAGGAACAGAGGTGGATTTAGGGATTATTAAGTTCATGTGATCCTACCTTGTATCCAGCATGGGGCCTGCTCTTTGTGAGCGGCGTGGTGGAGCAGAGTTCGATGGCCTCAGGCTCGTGAAAGATCACCGTGGGCAACGGCTCCTTCCTCAGCGTCAGCACATTTAGCTTGGTCTTCAGCATGGTCTGGAAGTGCTGATGGAGAAAGGAGAGAAACACACACTGTGCTTTAGGCAAACTTAGAATCAGTACCAGACAACTACATGCCTGTAGGTTAATTTTGTACTTTCCTTGTTAACACTGCTTGAGGCTCAAAAAAATGCAACTTCCACAACATCAGCATTTTAGCGCTTTTGCCATTTATAGGTGTGTAATTCAGAATAAGAGATGAGATGTCACCACTTTGAGTCCAGAAATATACAAGATTTACGGGTGTAAATGCGATGGTAGGGAAGAAAAATGCTGCTTGGTGCTCCATAAAACTTTCATGAGGCTCAAAGGGTTAAAATACCAGCATGAAATTCAAGGTCAGAGTATTCCAGATTTACAGGACCCTCACACACACACATGCAGAAAACAAAAGTCAGTGGTGAAAACTGGAGATGAAGACTGGGAGTGAGATGGTGTGAGAGGTTTATTCTGCTGAAAGTGGAATGTGAGGAGCAGATGAAGGGAGCTCTGCCCTTGCTGCCTCCGTCAAAACAAGAGCAGAGAGCCGCCTGCTCTCATACTACAGTCCATGGCCAGTGTTTCCTGAAGCCGAGCAGAACCACATGGTGGATCTCGCCCTGTGGAATTTCTGGGCTTCCTTGAAACAGTCAAGATAAAACTGAGCAGCTAATGAAATAGAGACATTCACAACTCAGGGAAAAACACCAGCATATGGCAGGTCTGCTGGGCTGCGTGTCTGCAGCCACTCCATTATCAAAGATCTAATAGCACTGGCAGTTAGTCAGTGAAAATCATTTCTTATACATGAGCAATAACCTTTGTGATGAATACTGCACCTGCAGGTGTTTAGAATCTGATATTTGTAATATCCATTTGTTAGTCGTCTGTTTTCTTCACAGTTTCTTTGCAACGCAGTTTTTAACAGGTTTTGTCTGCGGAATAAGTTAAACTAGCCATAGTTCAACTCTCTCGGAGACTAAAAAAGATGCCTTGTTGGGGTTTTGAATCGGATTTGCAATCTTTGTAGTCATGGTAGCTGCATGACTCAATAGCAAAGTTAGTCCCTCAATCACTTAGCCTCTTTGGTCTGGACTGAAATATCTCAACAACTTTTGAATGGACTGCTACATTCGTGGTTCCCAGAGGATGAATCTTAATTACTTTGGTGATCTAATGATTTTTCCTCTAGCACCACCAACAGGTTCACATTCATGGTTTTGAGTGAACATCCACATCAGGAAGAATTATAATAACTTTGGCGATCCCCTGACCTTTCATGCAGCACCATCATGAGGTCAAAATTAGAATTAAAATGAATACCTAAACTTAATACCTGCTAAAACTACTGGCATCTCATCAGCCTCCGCTGTACTTGGTTTTAAATGCTAATTAAATGTCACGCTAAAAGTCTAACACACCACCAGAATAAGATGTTGGACATTAAACCTAGCATTTACCTCAAAGTTCAGCCTCACAGAACTGCTAGCGTGGCTGTAGACTAGCCATCCCAAACTGACAGCCTGGGGGCCATTCCCGGCCCTCCGGCCCTTGACATGATGTCAAAGATTATTATTATTTTTATTCTTCTAGTTGTTTCATATAAATCTAAACTATCCCTTCATATACAATTAAAATAAAGTATATATCTATCGATCTATCTATCTATCCATCTAAAAAAAACACAATTATATCAAATTGATGACGACAAATGTGATAACAATGGAGAAAGGTTTCGGCATTAATTTCTGGTTTGGCTGCAAACAACAAAGATGATACATAATTATGATGTTAGTAATGAAAATATTATCAGAATATTGTGCTTTCTTCTAGTATTTGAACGTTGATGTGGCCATCCAATGAGATGACAATACCAGCAGTGGCCCCGAGCCAATTAAAGTTTGAGACCCCTGCTGTAGACTCTGATGTGATTGCCTTTATTATTCACTTTCTGCTACATACCGGTATAAAAAATCTAGCAATAACAGATGCTAATCTGGTCATCTAGTGTAGTGTTATTCTCAGAATATGTCTTTGTNNTACAGATTACTTTTACAAAAGCTTCCATTCACTTTTTCACTTTTTTCCTTTTCTCTTTGGCACTTCAAAGCTGTTTTCCATGTTGGACCTGCACAATGTCCATTTTTTTTATGCAACAGATGGTCAACATTTCCAAGTGATGAAAACAGTCAATCCTGCCAACACAGGCTCTCATCAATCTTCACTGTTGGTTTGTTTGGTAAAGCCAAGTAGAACATCCTCAATCAACTTCAAGAAACAGGTTTGGTGTCCAGTTTCTAAATTCAGCGCCACTGCATCAAATATTGTTGCAGAAGTATATTACACATATTTACTTCAAAACATCTGTGGGTATTCTTATGTGTATCTTAGCATTGGTGCTTTGCCAGTCAGTGCCTGGGACTTATTTACATTAATTTGAGTGCAGTCATTTTACTGCTAAATAATAGTATTTATACTATTTTTATAAGAGAAATACTCTATTAATA